GATATAACTTTTTGAATTGCAATAAATTACCAATTTATCTTTACATAATTCAAATTGCTAGTTAACGTTAGCCACCGGCTCCGAACGGGTTCTCAGAAGCGTTACGTAGGGATCATAGAATGGGGAGCCGTGAGGGAGGGCTTGACTACTAGTATCTACTATATATGGCTTTTGTGATAATCTTCCTCGCGCTGCCATCTACCCTACCCGCTCGATCGATGTCGCGGCGGATCCTCGATGGCACAGTGGAGGATCCAACGACCCGCCCCGCCGAGGCCTCCACACAACCCTTCAGAGAGACATCGTTCTCCGGTACTCCGTATATGGCCGATGACGGTCGACGCGCAATAGCGTGGGATTCTTCTAAGGCGTGTCTCAGGGCTGTATCGGCCCGAAGGTGTTATAATGTTTGGAGTAGCTATCAATATTGTACTTTATTAGTAACTTTAATAAAATATAACTATAAACATATAAAGTAATTTTTTAGAAAAATCATTCAAAAATGATAACTATAAATTACAAATATTTATTACAAATAAACTGTAAGAGAGGTTGAACTTGGTTGGTTTGTGTAATGCCACCGGGGGCAAAAGAGCTCAATCACCACCAGCGCCATGCTAGTAGTAGAGGGGACGAACCAATCCAAACCCTTAACAGTTTGCTATCATCTATCGAGTGGCTATATCTGCGTAAGAATGTACGTAACGTGATCCTAACTGATCGATGAGATATCAATGTAGTAGAACGTGTGGATAGCGATATTGCAAGAATGATCCGATGGCCCTTGGGAGGTTAGAGCGTGCGGCTACTATCTCTATGGCTCATAACCCTGCACTAGTCTAATTATTGGTTAGTGTAGTGTGGGTTCTTACAGTCTAAAAAAGCTTATGAATATATACATAAATATACACACATATATATATATATTTACCAACAAAAGTATATTAAGAGAATTAAATCATACAAAAATTCCTAGAACGATTTTACATTTTCAAGGTAATTCATAAATTAAGTATCTTTTGCGCCGGTTAGCGGGGCGCCCAGACTGCTGGACGCCATCGTCATTGACCCATTTCCTGCACTAGTCCTGTACCGGCAGCACCATTGCCGCTTCAGAGATGGCACGCCCCCTCACTGCTGTTGCACCCTCTCATACTGCTTCAACAGACCTGCTTGATCTATAAAAACCCATCCCGCACCCTCACAACAATCACACAACTCTCCTCCTCTTTTCTCTCTCTCTCTCTTTCTCTTTCCCTCTCATGTGTGTCTGAATGCACTGCTCCCTTCTCTTTCTTGTAAAGAATTGATGTTGTTTTACTCAGCTCTCATCTCTTTTTCATTCTGCATCTGCGGAGTCATTGAATGAATGTCTGATGAGCTTGCAAACTGCTGCTTCATTGGTTTCTGAATCATTCATGTCATCTTTTATAATAATGTTACTTCATTTGATTTAAAATCTGAACTGTTGAAACATCTACAGTTGTCAATTGTGTTGTACAATTAATGATTGTAAATTGCAGATTGTTAATGATCTATCTTTTCTTTTCTTTTTTTTTTCTTTTTAATTTTTAATTTTTAATTTTTAATTTTTTAATTGAGAGGTTGAGAGTTTCTGCTTCTGCTCTTTCATTTTCTCATTTTATTTGCAGTTTTATTCAGTCAATTTTGTGAGAGGTGATGACAGTATGAAGAGTAAATAGTGGAAGATAGTAGATAGTGTAGTGAATGATAGTAACAATAGTAATTGTAGTAACAATAATAGTAGTAATTGTAGTTAATCACTAAGAAGAAAAAGAAAGAGAAAAGAAAATGTGTGAAATACATACATTCATATATATATACATATAGAAATAGTGATAGCAAAAACATAATGGAAAGAGGTAAGAATAAACAAATATAATAAAATAAAAAAACAATAAACAAGTGTATTACAATTGCCCTTCTTTTTTGTAAGAGATGCTTTCAGTGATTTGTATAGATTGCTTCACATCTTTTAGATAACTTGTATACACATTATTATCAATTTCTTAATGAGGTAGAATTGATGGATTCTTTGATTGTTAGATGTATGTATGTATGTATGTATAGGTTTAACGTCCCGGAGAAAACACGGGCAGCGCCCGTGTTTCAGAAGCCTCCCGAAGGGCATGGAGACGTGCTACGCTGGAGAGATTTCTATGTACACAGAGAGAGAGAGAAAACAGAATCTAGGTGGCAACTCTTGAGAAGACTCAGCTCATTGCAAAGGATTTTTCTGAGCTGCGCATCCACTTCTGGCCCGACGTATGGCCATTCATGGTGGGGCTATAGTGTGGTTCCCTGAGGGGACCGCCGCTGCTGTGCCTGGAAGGCTTTATAGTGAGCAGAGAGGGATACCTCTCTCAGTTGATCAGAAAGCTGTCTGTGCTTCTAACATCAGAAGAAAGACAGACAAGATAAATAATGAAAGAAAGAGAGGGAAAGTGTGTGTTCTGAAATGAAAAGAATAAAAGAGAGAGGTGAAGGAAAGACTGTGTCATCTGCAACACCTTGCAGTCACGTGACATGGCACAGACCCGGGGGAAAAGAGAGGAGAGAGCACTAAATGAACGTTGTGAAAGGAAAAGAGCAGAGAATGACAGAGAGAGCAAAATAAAAGAAGGAAGAAGAAGCATTTTGAGCCGATAGAGACAAGGGCAAACGAGAGGAAACAAAGCAGAGTACGCGTAGATACAATGCCGGCAGTCAAAACCATATCAGCTGAGTCAGACACGTAGACTGTACTGATTACACCACAGCTAATCAAAACAGATGAGCCAAGTTGTGCTATCTGTACTGTCTGCATAGACTGTGTTGTCCCTGGCAGTTGCACTAGCTACCGTGGGTGTACTCAGCAGGCCGGCCTCGTGGAACTGCTGCGGGGGTTGTCAGATGGTGTGCAGCCAGCCGGCTGCGTTACCTTGTGCAGTACTGTGTGTAGAACTGCGTGCAGTCCAGCAGTTCTACAAAGTCTGTAGGGGTCAGAGACCCTAGATAGGCAACAGCTGTCGCCCGGTTGTGTGGCCGTGCTGCTGGCCTCTTGGGCCAGTGAAGAAGGTGCCTCTGTGAGTGTCGACAGAGCATCAAATGTTCTGGGCTCTTGTTGTGTCCACAGACACAGGTGAGCCTCGCATCTGCATGCTGGAAACGCCTGTGGTACCAGGAGAAGTCCCCATGAGAGGAGCGGAGTGCGAGCCAGCGGTGAAGGGCATGCCGTGGCATGGTGAGCTCCGGAGGGGCCTTCACTTGGTATTCCCCAGTCGGCCTGCTGAAACTCCAGCCCCGGTACCAGTCAGAGAGCTTGCCATAGGCTCCACTCCACCACTTTTCGCCTTGCCTCTGGCTGAGCTGCTTGGCCACTGTGCGGACCCCACTGACTGTGGGTGTGGACTCGAGACCATAGGCTGGGGCTGCAGTGGATGAGACTGCCCGCTTAGCCAAGCGGTCTGCTTCCTCATTGCCCTCTATCCCCAATAAAGATTATATGCAGAGAAGTAAAAAGAATTTCTTTTTCTTTGAAAAATTTTTTTTTTTTTTTAATTTAATCATCATCAAAACTTTTTGCTCAACTTTTTGCTCTACTGCCATGATTTTTTCATTTTCAGAATTATTTTTTTTTTTTTTTTTAAAAAACTTTTTCGTTGATTCTCTCTTTCATTTTCTTTTATTAAAATAAGTTTTTTTAAATATTCTGATTTTAAATAAGTTGTTCTTTAGCTGATATTTATCATATATTATTGTTGATATTCTCTGTCAGTGATGTTATTAATATGATCATATGTGTTACTAACTTGTTTTTGTATAGCATTATTTGCTATTCATTTATTGTATTGCTTTAACTTTAATTATATGATGCACAATAATCAGATTCTGTGTGAATGTTGTGCTTCAAACTGAAGAATGTTGATTTTTGATGTGTGTTAAGATTCAATATTTGAAAATGTTGTGAAATTTATATCTCTGCAGGAAAATTCTGCAACTTTATGAGTAACTCTCTTTAATTTTTATTTTCTTTTTCTCTTTCCTCTTTTGCAAACTTGTGTTTGAATAGATAAATAATATCATTAACAATGTTAATATATTGATAATGATGTTAGATGCATGATACACCTCTTCTGAAGTGTATTATACATAGATATGTGTTTATTTTTGTGAAGGTGATGATTGAAGAGAATATGATTAGTCATAAAAGTCATTTTCATCATTTAATAAAATGATTGAATGTATCTCATTTGATAATGCTGTCTGCTCAGAATAGAGTAGAGATAAATGTTTTGTGATTTCAGCACTGAGTAGCAGCTGAATCTGCAGA